CACACACACACACACACACACACACACACACACACACACACACACACCCTGAGTCTGAAGAGGGTGAGATATAATTTTCCTCTCAGGTATGGTGGTGCATGCCTTTAATCCCAGCACTAGAAGAGGCAGGAGGACCTCTGAGTTTACATAGTGAGTTCTAGGATAATCAGAGCTACTCAAATAAATTAAAAAAAAAAATTTTCCTCACTATGAACTATGGTGATATTTCCTTATACTAATCAAATAAAAGACTGCCATCTGATATTTATATAAAATTAATTTCACAATTTATTTGCTCATCTAAACATTAATTGAAACCTATTAACAATATTTTATTAGGTTGATTACCAGTTAAATTAAAGTGTGTAGCTATTATTTAAACATGAATAACATTTTTTTTGAGACAGTCTTAATATACAGTCCAGGCTAACCTAGAACTCAGAGAGCTGCCTGCCTCTGCCTCTCAAATGCTGGGATTAAAGGTGTATACCACCACACCTGGCCAAAAGTAATAACATTTTAAATAAATGTCTAGAAAATTCAAAATGTTGAGCTGTAACCTTCATAACATTACTAATGAAAGTTGATCAAGAAGGTCATGGTTACTTTAAAAATTACAGTTGTTCATTTTTAAATCTTTAAAATGAGAATAGAATCTGTGCTTGCTTTTGTTTTTGTAGTAGTGAGGATTAGTGGGGATTAAACCTCAGACCTTCCTTGTGCCTGCTAGGCATGTGCTCTATTTTGAGGATGTGAGTATTGCCTACGGTTGGCCTGTAACTCTTACTGAATCTGTAGTCCAGGCCTTTAATGTGTGCTCTTCCTTCCTCACCCCCTAAGTAGCTGGAATTATAGACTTGTGCTCCTTAAATGAAATCCATAATTTAACTTGAAAATGCCCTACAACCATATCATTAAATATACTGTTTAATTTACAAAGAGAAAACAGGTGCATTGAGTACTATTTTATAGCAATATTATATTATATTAATATAGTATACAATATTAAAATAAAAATTTAAAGCATATTGGACAACATGCCCCCAAAGTAAAAACTCAAAAATATACAGATGAATTACATGCATTTGTATTGTATAAAAATATAGAGAGAGTTTCAAAACATGCCTTTTAGCTGGGTGTGGTGGCGGACACCTTTAATCTCAGCACTCGGGGAAGCAGAGGCAGAGGCAGAGGCAGGCAGATCTCTGTGAGTTCAAGGCCAGCCTGGTCTACAGAATGAGTCCAGGACAGCCAAGGCTACACTGGGAAAGCTGGTCTCCAAAAACAACAAACAAACAAAACATGTCTTTTGTTATAGCACTTGTTTAGCATGCACTAGGCTCTGGGTCCAACCCTTAGTACTGGGGAAAAAATAAAACAGTGAAACGAGGTATTCCTGTCTAGAGAGCCTCCTTGGAGCATCATGCAGAGCCAGTGAGGGCAAGGCTAGTGCAGCTATACTTGCCATGTGCCTCCTTGCTTCCTCGAAGGCACGTCTCTCTTCCTCTAACCGCCGTCTTGCTTCCTCTTCAGCTTGTTTCTTGCGATTTTCTTGTCTTTGTCGTTCCAGTTCTTCAAAAGTTGATTTCAGTTTTCCAGGAAAATGTGATTCTTTTTTGGCCTCTGTTTCATCATCCTGTGAAAACAAACTTGTTACCCAAAGGGCAATTGCTGTTAACTATGCATTGGATTTGTTCTTATAAAACCTACCATGACTAATGACAGACACTTTGCTTCTTTGAGAGAGCGGCGCTCCTCTTCATGATTAAACCTTTCATTCCCTTCTTTATCCAGGTCCTCAGGATTGTCTACTTTTCCAGATGTTCTGTACGATTTGGCAGGTACCACTGTTATAAGTAGTGAATCATCTCCTTCCTATTTATAAGACAGATAATTAGCGTCCATATCTTTAATAAAAATGCAGGTGGTAGGGTGCTTCACCTCCATCCGTGGTGAATTACATTGCTGTCAAGGCTATGAAGGACAAAAACCTTACTTTTTTACACTAGTTACTAGCAAATACATCTTTCCTTGAACTCACTGTGCAGGATTAGTGAGCTTTACTAGCCCACTAATGGCAGTCTCAAGAAGCATTCTGCTTTGGAAGGTAGAATTAATATGCCCGATTACGGAAGAGGACTGTAGTAATATTACCTTACTGTAGACTCTCTGTATATTAATTACAAAAGGCAATGTGCATGTGAGCATACGCCAAACCAATTTGATGGTGGATAGTTTCAGCATAAACATACAACAAAGTCTTCTCCATAACCTGCTTCTCTGTCCCAAGTTATTCAATACTTAATAAAGTAATATTGAATGAGAAAAGCCATTGACTAGTCAGACAAGTGATGTATTGACATTCATAATATAGATAAAGCGGTAAAGCATTTATCTATTAAAATTTAAAACAAATTCTTAGTGTTTGTTTTTGAAACAGGGTCACTTTGTGTAGTTCTGGCTGGCCTGGAACTTGCTATGTAGACCAGGCTGGCCTCAAACTCACAAAGATCCACCTGTCTCCACCTCCCAAATGCTGGAATTAAAACTCTGCACCACTACACTTGGCTAACATGAATTCTCTTAACATTGATTTTAATTGGTTTTACTACAAATTTATTGTTACCTATCAGTTTTACAAAATAAAGATTATAAACTATACATATGCCCCTAAATTAATTTATTTAAAATTTTTGTAGCATAGTTTTAGACATGCCATCAAATTGGTTGGTTGGATTTTTAATCTTGCTAGTTAACTGGGCTATGTTTTTATGGTTATTGGACATGGTATTACACACTCCCCTCTATACTGGTATGTGAAAACCAAAACACGAGCTCTTAGGAACTCTGAGGAAAGAAGACAAATGATGAAAAGACAAATGCCTCTTAAAAATGTCAGCTTTCAACAGCTTTAGATATTAGTTCAGGAAACATACAGTCTTGGAAGAGTGTCCCTAATAGCATCACAGACCCTGTCTCCATGACCCAACTGGACAGAAGCATACTTTTCTTTAAACACACTACAGTGTTGAAAGTGCCTTTTGAAAACTTTTTGTTAATGTGATATCTATAGTGAATAGTGAAATAAAAGCCTCTGCATGTCTTTCTTTGTGAATCAGGTAATTTTCAGTGAATGTTTCATTAAAGGAAACGTCTGTTACCTCTGATGCGGATTCGGTTCCCGTATTGTTTATGTCCTCAATCTATTGAATGAGAATTTCATATTGTTACATTACATTGAATTTCTGCTTGGTGCTCTTAAACATACAACGGAAAAGTAATTTAGTCATGACTTCTGGTAAATTTTCAACTTTTGACTGTGAACTTACAAGGAACGATTTTTAATTTGGTAGCAATTTAAACTGAGATACACAAAAATGCCCCTGAAATCTTCTGCCTCTGAGACAGCAGAAGGAAAATCCATCACAAACAATCAAATGTTTGTGACCCTATTTCTTATCAAAGATGTCTGGCAAAAATGTCACTGATACAATAATAAAGTATGGCAGAAATGTCTGCTAGATTAGAAGGGTGGACAATTCTGTTGTTTATAATATTTCTCATACTGCATTAGGAAATGGCCATCATATAAAGTTGGAGCACATTTCTTTGAAGGTGAAGAAACACTGGGTTAGCTTGATGGGCAGGCTGATCCTTTAAGTAAACTGCCTAAAGAAAAAAGGTGATTTTAACAAGTCAGTGTCTGAAATCTCAAGAAAAGGAAACATAAGCAACAGACAAGAACTGTCGTGAAGTAAGTTTAGCCAGGATAACCTTTGTGAGTCTGAAGTCAGCCTCACCTATGTGTCAAGTTCCAAGACAGCCAGGGCTACATGATGAGACCATGCCTCAAAACTAAACCAATAAGTTTAAAAGACTTTTTATTTTAATAAATACTTTTATCAGAATAATTTTTACACTGTTTAATTTTTTAGGATATTTTGTTTTATTACATAATTATACTGATTTGCTATGTAAATGGTAAAGGTTTTTTCCAATGGTGTATCATACTAAGTAAAATTTGAATGGCTCTCTAATAAAATGAGTTTTCCAATGAACAATAAAATTAACTTCTCAATAAAAAGATCCAGAAGGCATGAGAAGCCAGAGCCAGACACTGAGAACACAGGAAAGAGAAGCAGTTGATTAAACCCGGGGTTCTATATCCTGCATCTCTTCAGGTCCTTCTTATCTCTGGGAAGGTGGACAGAAAACTCATTGGGCTTTCATATTTTGCATGCTTACATTTCTGTTGCTATTGCTTTCTTTTATTTTTGTTCACTCTAAACCATTACAAAGTAACAAAACAATCATGTCTTTTTTTCAATAAACATGGAAAAGAACTTATTTTAGGGGAGGGAAATTTGCTGCCAGTATAGTCGAGAACAGACGTTTGTAATGCAGTTGGTGTTGGCTTTCACAGGTTAACCCTGAATAAATATTTCTCAGCTGATTTTTGTTTTGTTTTTGCTTTATTTAAAACAAATGTGTTTCTTCTCCTGATTTCATTCCTTGCCTTTTTTCAGGATACCATCTCCTACCAACACCATCTGTGTCTCTAAGTGGATGGACTTAATTTTGTCCATCAGGGCATCTTCAGATAATATGCCCACAGGGTTTTTTTCTTATTTTATTTTCTTATTCTAATTATTCTTATTTCTTATCCTATTTTCTTATTCTAATATCTAAAACACAAGGTATATTCCTTTTTAAGTCTTTGTAAGATCCTGCCATCTTAGAAGAGGCAATTATCTCAGTGATTACTTTGACTATCCTGGACTCAGGAACGCTTCTTGCATACTGGTTTGTAAAAACTATCTGTAAACAAACATTACATTACACTGCATTAAGTCTTATTAAATTTGAGTGGAATTGTACTTACATTTTAAAATTAGACTTTACCTATTTATAAAAAGAAATTACTATTACTATATTGCTGTTGTATCCTTAATTAAAAAGGGCTAAAACATCATTAGCCAGGGTTCTGCGCATCCTCCATACAGCAGTGTTTGGTGTAAGGACACCAATTTTTTTTTTTAATTTACCTTTGAGCATCCAGTCTTTATTATAGTCAATCTCACTCAGGTTTTTTTGTTTTGTTTTGTTTTGGTTTTTGTTTTGTTTTGTTTTGTTTTTGAGAAACTACTGTCTTAATATTCCATTCTTGTGTTCCAAATGGGTCAGTATGTCTAGAAAATATAGAAGACTATATATACATACTTCAGTCTTGTTTAAGTTATAATTTTATTGTAATTATATTCCAAATTCATATATTTACAAACATATATTGAAGTAATTAAAAATTCAGTATTTCTCATTTTATAGTTGTACTTCTTTATAAAGTTTCACTACAAAATGAATGCTCATTTTTAATGACTAGAAAGGTCAACACCAATGTACATGGCATCCTTCAAAGAAGGATACAAAACAAAGTATCTGAAATTCTCATTATTACCAGTTAATCTGGCATATACCATCAAACAAGTAGCTGTTTGTGTCACAGAAGAGGTTATTTGCAAAACTGAAGTTAATGGATTTCTTGGGCATGCAAGTATGGGATATGCTTTATTTTATCACTTTTCTCTTTAGAAAAGTAGTGGAAGATGGAAGGAACATAGCAAATTGGTTTAAGGACTTAGAATATTGCTTTAAAGGACTGGAGAGGTGGTTCAGTGGTTAAGAGCATCTCTGCTCTTGCAGAGGACTTGGTTTTGGTTCTTAGCACATACGTGAAGACTCAGAACTGTCTGTAACTCCAAGTCTGAGGTATTTGCTGCCCTCTTCTGAGCTCTGTAGGCAACTGCATGCACATGAAGCAAGCAAACACACACATAAACAATTTTTGTTGTTTTTGTTTTTTGAGACAGGGTTTCTCTGTATAACAGACCTGATTTGTAGACCAGGCTGGCCTCAAAAATCATAGAAATCCACCTGCGTCTACTGGGATTAAAGGAGTGTGTGCCACCATCATCTGGCCATAAACAATCTTTTTTTTTTAAATCTATTTAAAAACAGTGTAGCATGTATAAATATTGCTATTAAAAACCCATAATTGTGCTATGTGATTATAGTTTGTGTGGAATGTCTCATATCTTTATAAAATTCTCAAAGATGCCAAGAAAATTCAGAGATACAGTCAATTTAAGGACTGTAGAAACAATTGGTAAGATCATATATAACACAAGCCATATCATCATTCCTCCTAAAATAGGCACATTCTGCCTGAACTGCTGGTCATCTGATACTGAATATTTCCCCTAAGATAATGCTTTTAGGTTAGTCGCTATTAATACATTTATATTGTATTAAATAGTTCTCATTTGCTCTGTTAGTTACAGCAACAAATACCAATGTAGCATCTAGCACCTACCTGTTCAGCCCTTTTTGCTAATTCACGCTGTATTTTCCTCCTTTCTAACAGATCCTGCTCAGTTCTGCGTTTTCTTTCCTCTTCGGTTCTCTTCCTTTGTTCTTCTTGTCTGTGTTTCTCCATTTCATCAAATTTACCTTTAACTGTCCCTATGAATACACAAAAAATACTGGATAGTTTACCATGTTTCTTTCTCTCATAATCCCATTTATTTTATTTATCCCTCAAGGTTCTTACCTGTTAGCTTTGGGACATAAGCCTTTTCTACTTTAGCAGAAATCTCTTCCTCATCATCAGAAGCAAGCATTTCTTTAATCTAGGTGGTTAAATAAGTTAGTATGAATACATGTCTCCAAATTAGACTAGATTATATTAGAGCAGCCCCTCACCCCCGCTGCAGAAGAGCCTGCTAGGATATCCAGTGCATTCCTGATACCACAGGTAATTCTCAGCCCTGCTCATGCTTCTTTTTTCTTGTATGAAAATTATATTTATAGAAGAAACATGTATTTCATAGGTCATATAGTTCTGATAAAGTTTAACTTACACATTAAGCACAGTAAAAGACTATGAAAAATAATTATAAAAATAATTATATTGCAATTAAATTCATTTAAAGTTTTTGTTTACTTCTAGAATTAATATTTCGGACCATGGTTGAGCACAGGCAATGAAAGCAGTGGAGAGTAAAACTATAAAAAAGGGAAGACTGATGTATGCACACAGCTTAAATTAGGTTACAAATATAGAAAGTGATTTTAATTAGTTTACATAAAATGTTAGTGTGAATAGTGCATTACAATGAATAAAATTAATATTTTCACAATAAAATAAAATAAAATGACCTCCTGCTTTCTCCTGTTCCATTCTCTCTCTCTAATATATTGTTCTTTTCTTCTTTGTTTTTCATCTCTAGACCGCCTTTGATTTCTTTCTTCCCTGGCCCTCTGCATGGCTTCAAACTTATCCTTTACGTCACCCTTGCCAAGTTTTGGCACATAGGATTTGGGGACAGGTTTAGATGAAGAAAGCAGAATCTTTGTTAGAAGGAAATAAAGAGAAGAAAGTTTAAAAAGAAGAAATTAAGCAAAGATAAGAATAAGATACATTAAAATACTTATCGAGACAAATAGAAATGAGTTTCAAACCTTTATTTGGACCATCATAGCCTGATTAGATATCCTCTAAACCTTTTAAGTTGAAATTACAGAATATTTAAGAACAGAAATTTTGTTAAATTAAAATTCTTCAAAAAGGAAACCCCAGTTAGGCTTCTACTGATGCTGAAGGCCAGTAAAACATAAAAATCAAATACTAAACTCTAATGAGAAACAATTTATTTTATTTTTCACCCTATTATTAAAGTTTCAAATTAACATCACTCCCTTACAAACAACAAGGCCAACCTCAGCAAATTGTATGAATTTGGAAACACAGTATTAGATCAGGCTTTTGTGGTGAAGGTTGAATTACATATAACATCATACCACTGCTTTCTTAGATAATACAGGCAAAGCTGAAAGCTCAGTTTAACCCCACAAGAGTTGTGTCTTCCTAAAATCCCCTTAAAATGTGCAGGGTGGCTACACCAGCTGCCTAGACTGAGCTCTAAAAGGAAAATATTAAAAAAAAAAAATCTGATGGACGACTCGAGCAATGGTTTCCCTATTTTAAAATGAGGAATGCAGATTCTTGTCATCTTTTTTAGAAGTTTGTTTCTGAAAGAAGTTTCCGTAAATAAAATTGAGTGTCAGAATGCCAAACTCTTTCTAACAAGAGCAAGTAGCTTGCTGATCTGCGGCAGATCTGTCCTGTGCTGATCTAGTGCATGCCCCTCCGGGTTTCTTAGCTGTCATGTTTGAGTGTCAGCATCTGGGGCTTCTCAGTTCTCGGTATCTACAGCCAAGAAGCTGAGAGTCCTCACCCTAAAATGAGTTATCACCTCCAAAGGTCCTAGTCTCATAAAAACAACATGGAAGGAATCATTTCTAAGATCAGTGTACTTAAAATTTTACTTAAGGTGCTAGCTTTTATCACGTCTTTGCCTTGTAGAGGTTTAGTATGCATGCTTCCCAAAGCCCAGATTAAAGTACTGACCCAAAACACTAACTGAACCTTTTTTGTACATCCTCAGATTGCAAACACCTAAATGTGACCATTCCCACAATCTTCTAGTCATCTCTTCCTCCCTTTCCAAGTCTCTTCCTGCCTACCCCCACCCTTTCCACGGCCTTCACACACACACAGGCATGTATACAGAGCTTTTGAGATTTACCTCTGCCTTTTGAGAAATGTCATTCATGCTTGCTCTGTGGTTTGGGGCTGAAGCTTTGTGTAGTTTTGTGCCTGAAAAAAAAAAATAATGTTGCCAGGTGGGACAGCACACACTTTAATCCTAGCAGTTGGGAGGCAGAGACAGGCAGATCTCTTTGAATTTAAGGCTAGCCTGGTCCACATAGAAAGAAAGCACCAGGCTAGTCAGGGCAGCATAGTAAGATCTGTACACTTTTATAGAAATACACAATTTATATTTAAATTTTTAATATACATATATAGAAGTATAACTTAAATTGTTTTCCTTCAGAAGTTCAAATTAGTAGTTGTGATAATCTTGAGCTTCTTTAATATTCATGGTTCAGAAAATATAAGGTGTGTGGTTTAGAAAGTCCAGAAAAACAGAACACCCAGAGGGCCTTGGTGAGCGTTCCAAGGCATGTGAGAAGCGTGCACTGTGTGGCCACTCAGTAGAGCGCACTCTACGCACCAGGCAGATTGAGCTAGCTTGGCCACACTTCCTTTAAAGTCATCCACTTTATTTGCTGTAATCAGACTCTCTTAAATGTGAGCACACTTTGCTCCTACTGTAGCCTTTGAAATTGTCCCTTTCAAGCCAGTGGTGCTGATGGTGAGGTTAGTGCACATCTTTAATCCCACCGGATAATAATAGCCCATTGTATATTTAACCATTCACTCAATGAAAAATATTTTGGTTACATCTGGGCAACCATAAATAAAACTGATACTAATTATCCACATGCAGGCTTTTAAATGGACAGACTTTTCAAATCTCTCAGAATAAATACTGAGTCATGATTACTGGATCACACAGAATGTGTTTAGCAGCTGGGTGGTAGTGGCTCGTGCTTTTTATCAGAGCACTTGGGAGGTAGAGACAGGTAGATCTCTGAGTTTGAGGACAGCCTGATTTACAGAGTAAGTTCCAGGACAGCTAGGGCTACACAGAGAATCTCTCTTCCTCCCCCTGCCTCTGGTTTATTTATTTAATTTTTTTTTTTTCAAAACGTTTTCTCTGTGTAGCCTTGGCTGTCCTGGACTCTGCTTTGTAGACCAGGCAGTCTCAAACTCAAAGATCCACCTGCCTTTGCCTCCTTGAGTGTTCCTCAGGCGTGTGCCACCGCACTCAGCTGAGAACCCCTCTCTTGAAACAGAACAAAAAAACCACAAAGGGCAAAGTTACCCTCAATGTTTGCAAGTTGCTGCATTTCCACCAGCAATGCAGGAAAATGTGGTTGTTCTTCCCTTGCCCCCTCCCTTGGTGCCAGCCTTCTGGTTACGGCTAATGTAGTTCGGAGTGCTATCTCATTTTAGTTTGCATTCCTCTGATAGCACATTATATGTTTCCCATATGCTCACTTTCCATGTGCATATCTTCTCTAGGGAGATGTATGTAATCTTTGCTACTTTTGGGGGAGAGTTTGTCATTGTCATTGTCATTTTTCTGTGTTTGAGACAAGGTCTCAGTCTCACTGTGTAGCTAAGGCTGGCCTGGAATTTTCGGTTCCCCCCAGTCTGCCTCCTGAATGCTGGGATGATGGGCATGGCCACCATATCCATACTATGGTAATCATTATTTAATGATAGCCTAGAAACAAAGGATTCCACTAATTCCACAGGGGACTTGTTAAGCATCCACCATGCCTGGCTCTCTCTGCAGATGCTGAGGAATGAAACCCTGAGCAGACAGGTACTGCACATCTCCTGTTCTTAACAAACGTCTTGAAACCAGGTTTTCCAGTAGTCTACCCTCTAGCTGAACAATTTCAGAAGGCTTCAACACAGCTGTCTGACAGAAGTGGAAGGCAACATATTCAGTTAGATGCCTAGGGACTTGCATTCTGCACTCACGTTCTGCACTGCTCTTACTCCATGCCCAACACTTTATGCCCCCTGCCAAGCTTACAGAGGATCAGTTGTTTTCTGGAGCCCGCCTCCAACTATAATTAAATTCCACCAGAGAGAGCTTTACAACATTCATGCAAAAACTAACTACTTTCAAAGCTCCTCTCTCCTTAACTCAGTTTCCAGCCTCTGTGGGAGTTAGGGGCACGTAAGAATGAGTGCTTTGCGTGCCCACCTGCGTAGTTGCGTGCATGCACGTCTGTGTTTACAGGTAGACACAGTCTTTTTGAACTCAGCCCACTGACTTGGCAAAGCTTTGAAGACCCAGGGATCTAGCTGCTGCTCCCTCCCCAGTGCGGGGTTGCAGATAGATATATGTGCACTTGTCTGTTCATGTGAGTGCTAGGGATCCAAACTCGGGCCTCACATTTGCGCAGCAACACTATTCATCTGACTGGGCCACCTCTATAGCCCTCTGTTTCCATTCTCACTCCAAACTACCGGTACAGTGTTTTTAAGTCAGCCTTTTGAAGACCTATTTTCGAATTCCAGATATCATCCATTAGTCAGGTACAACTTTTGGCACAATATTCACACTTCAATAGAGAGGTACCATCTTCCACTTCGTGCTTCTATACATTACCAGCCAACAATTAAATCCAAGAGGAATTTTGTTTTCTTTTGCAGAGGAGCTTCTCCTTAATTAAACGTAACTGTGCTTGCCAGAAATATAGTACTCATACATGTCTTGTAACATTGATAGTATCATTTTATCAGTTTACTTTCCTCCAGAATCTTGGCAACTATTTTCAAATGATCAGCTCCTTTTCAGTAGGTGCCAAGACTCAATGAAAACTATTACCTTCGCTGCTGTAGGGAAACTGTTCTGCTGTAGTTTCCGTGAAATGTTTAACTACGGTGAATTATCAGAACAATGACTTTAAGTATACATTCTGGGTTAAGGTGGAGTTTAAAAGTTCCACAGTAACACCTAGCAACAACTCTTTTGATCTGAGTCTCTGCAGTGAGAGTCTCTTCCCTCTGCTTTTGTGAAGCTTTCACAGCAGACCCTTTCTCTCTGTGCTCTATCTCAGGCCTATCCTACCCCTGAGAGTCCTGGCAGCACAGTGCCTGTGGGAAAGAGAGCTGACACCAGAAAGTTGTCTTCTGGCCTCCACACACAAGCTGGAGCACACCCCATTCACACTAACAGCGCTGAGCCATCTCTCCCGCCAAAGCTTCTGCTTCATGCCAGGAAATGCCTTAATAATATAAGGATATCAAAAGCAAAGATCTGATGAAGAAAGAGTGTGGAACATTTGGGGTTCAGGGCTTAGTACAGGCCCATTTTTGAAGATGCTAGACAAGTTTTATCTATATAAATTTATCTATAGACATGCTGACCAAATAAACACTTACTAGTTCACTTACTAGTAAGTGAACTAGTTATTCACATTATTATCACCATGAAAATAGCTTTTACAAAATAGAGAGAACATGCTTTTTTGTTTCTTTTTTTTAAATAAGGTCTGAAAATCTCAGGCAGGAAGTAGTGGCAGCACACTTGGGAGGCAGAGGCATGCTGTGAGTTTGAGGATAGCCTAGTCTACAAAGTGAGCCCAGGACAGCCAAGGCTCCACAGAGAAACCCTGTCTCCAAAAACAAACCAACCAACCAAACAAACAAACAAACAAACAAAAACCCTCTTATCTAGCTTAATGAGAGAAATACATTCTAATATCTACTTTTACACTCAAATTACTATAGTACATCTTAATTGAAACAAATAAAGAAAATATGACCTCACGCAAGCACATAGCTCAGAAGGGTAATGTGGTTAAACTTATGGTGCAGATCCTGAGACTACCTTTTGAGAGTCACTGAACTACAGAAAAGAACATCCTATCAAATCAAGACAATTCCCATTCTAGAAAGTCAAAATTTACATGGAGGTCTACTCACTATATTTAGAATGCCAAGAAACTGGTTTAAATTTATATCTATGCCCAGTAAGTGAATACCAAAAGATTTTATATCTAGAAGCACATGAGTTTTTTCTGACTCTACGGTTAAAGTGATTTTTGGTGTCTGAACAGGCAGATGCAATATCTTTGGCTTCCATACAGGGGCAGCAAGCAGCATAACAATGCCACCCTATGTAGTTTTGATGTAATCCCAGGCAGGCCCCTTGAACTATCAAGAACATGAGCTGGAAAAATGGCTCAACTGCTCTTCCAGAGGGCCCAAGGTCAAGTCCCAGCAGCCGCATAGCAGCTCACAACTGTCCAAAACTCCAGTTCCAGGTATTGGACATTCTCTCCTGACCTTTGCTGCCACTTGCTCTCAACACAGATCTACTCATACAAACAGTAAAACAAACCTTCAAGAACTAGTTGGGACAACAGGTGCAGCGTCATTTTTTTATATACGTTATTTCTGTCTTTGAATTCGACCTGATGTGTGGCATGGCTTGTGTGTGTCTGTCAAAGGACAGCCTCGAAGGCAGCTGTTTGAGATGGGTTTCTTGTTGGCTGCTGCATGTACCATACTACCTAGCCCATGAGCTTCAAGGACTGGCTTATCTCTGTGTTTCCCATCTCCCTGAAGGAGTGCTGGGAGCACTGACATGAGCTACTGTGGCTTTACATGGACTCTGGGGATTTGAACCCAGGTCCTCATGTTTGGACAGCCAGGACTTCACTAACTGAACCATCTTCCCAAATCACTGTGTCCTAGGCCAGGTGACCCCAGTGCTTCACTCTTAAACTACCTAGAATAACTCTTGTTTCAGATCTGTGTTTAGCCTCTCAGTTTTCCCTATTTTGTTTTCCTTCACATTTTAGATATGCAACCAAAGCATTTCAGAACAGCAAATAATGCACAAAATGAATTTGGAATCATAGCTGTCCATCACATATGCTGATTGAACTGCTATATAATCTCAGGAGAGCAAAACCATCCAGACAGCTGTAGCCATGCTTGAATTCAGAATTCAAGCAAATTCTTTGTTGTAGGTCCCGGCTTCCCTTTGATGCACTGATGCAGGCATGGAGGGGTTTTCTATGTAAGCCAGGCTGGCCTCTGACATATTTCTTCCCTCTTCTCTTTTCGGTGTCACTGTAGCACTGACTGGCCTGGAACCCACTTTGTAGATTAGGCCTGCCTGGCTTGTAACTTACAATCCCTCCTGCTTTATCCTCTCCAGT